GAAACAGGCTGTGATTTCTTATGGATTCCATTAATCTTGCTAAAACTCAGGCACTGGAGAAGAGGGAGAGGAACGAGCTCAGGGTGACAGTTTGTCTTTCCCCAAAATGCTTGTATAAAGCACGGTAATGCATACAACTTGTCTCAGCTCAACAAAATAAACCTGCAGAAATTCACCATCGGAACTGGGAATGGGTAAGATCTCAGTGTGGATTCCTAGGACAAGAAAGGTAACCTGCACAAAAACAGCTATTACAACAGCTGTGTTGCAGTGAGTGCATAAGGTGACAGGGAGGTTCCTTCTAACTTGTCGGCAGCCATAAATATATGCCATTTCTTCTCTTTTCCAGTTCCATGCAAGTACAGCTTGGGAAACATAACCTGGCACTCAAAGAATCGACACAGCAGGTGATCAGAGCATCTAAAATCATCCGTCACTCTGGTTTCAACTATGACACGCTGGACAATGACATTATGCTCATCAAACTCGCCACACCAGCCCAGCTCAACGACGCTGTACAAACAGTTTCTCTGCCCACCAGCTGCGTGACCGCAGGCACCGAATGCCTCATCTCTGGCTGGGGAAACACACGCAGCAGTGGAAGTGAGTACCCTGTGGGCATGTATGGCACCATGAGGGCCTGGGAGACATTTAACTCACAGTCAACAGTGCAGGGTAAAGAACAGACGAGTGGTGTGGGACAGGTCTTTTTGAGTGGTAAGTCCCGGTAGGACAGTAACCATGTGACTACTTTAAAGGCAAGCCTTTGTAACGCGCTTCCTCTGTTTCTGTGTTATGGATGTGGAACCACTTAAGTCATCCACGTGCTGTTCACAATGTTATAGATTTTGTGCCATAGATTTTGTGGTCTGGAGCTCTCAGTTGTGCAGTGCCAAGCACAAGCAATTTAACTGATGTCAATGGAGCTGTCGCTTCTCTGAGCGCAAGACATAAATATGTGACTGTGGTCTCAAATGACTGCAAGAGAGTTCTGTTTTCTTACACCAATGGTCAGAGGTGTGGATGGTGACTGGTGTCTAATCCACTGGGGACAATTGAAGCTGCAGCAGAGAGAGGATGGTTTTCCTGAAGCGCAGTTTTCCTCCAGTATATGTGCTTCACAGTAGCTCTCAGCTCCCGACCAAACAACAGATGATTGTCTAGCAGACTGTGGTGCTTGACCGGAGCTGGATGCCAGGTGCCCACCAAAGCCTTTCCCACAGCCCTGTCTTCTTCCTGGGATTAAATTTCCTCCCACATTCTCTACCTCCTCTCCTGTAGCGGTGCAGGGAGTCAGGGAATGGGGGCTGTGGTCAGCTAATCACACGTCTCTGCTGCTCCATCCTCATGCCCTTCCAGCATTAACCTCCATGGGCTGCAGGGGGACAGCCTGCCCTACCGCAGTCTTTACCACAGGCTGCAGAGGCATCTTTGCTCTGGTGCCTGGAGCACCTCCTCCACTTCCTTCCTCACTGACCCTGGTGTCTGCAGAGCTGGTTCTCTCACATATACTCCCTCCACTCTCCCACTACAATTGCGCAAGGTTTCCCCCTCCTTCAGTGTCACATTATCATAGGCAGGGCGCCACTCAAGTATCTCTCACCACCCTTAGCTGGTGGTGCCTGAGCTGGCATTGGCTCTGTTGGACACAGGGGAAGCTTCAAGCAGCTTCTCACAGAAGCCACTCCTGTAGTCCCCCCACTACCAAAACTTTACCATGAAAACCCAATACAGTACCTGAAAAATCAGTGTGGCTGCAATGTAGAACTGTGGACCCATGGCTAAAACCTGCTCCATCCATGCTGTGATTACTGTTCAGAGGAGAAGTGACAACTGCAGAACCAGGATGTTTGGTGCTTCCTTTTCTGCTCAGACAGCTCATTTCCAGGCTCTGAAATTAAATCAGAGATGTTACCAACCATCTATCCCTATTTCTTGTAGGTGCGTATCCAGATACCTTGCAGTGCCTGAACGCTCCTGTACTCTCCTCAAGTGCATGCAGCAATGCCTACCCTGGGGATATTACAGATAACATGATATGTGTAGGATTCCTGGAGGGAGGAAAAGACTCCTGCCAGGTAAAGTATCTGCCTCTCCTTTCACCTATGTTTCTCTCCCACCTTTTTCCAACAGAAGAGGCTTTACTACTAGAGAATTACTAGACTCACTGCATTGCCATGTCTGAAGGTTACTGGTTTTTTTAACAACAGTGGAGGCGTAGGAACGAAGTTCCTTAGTGCGTGAGGCTGGGTTTCTAACACTCAGTCATTGCCTCCTTCTCAGACAGCACTAACTCTGCACTAAATTTCTAGAAGCAGCCTTCTGCACTTCAGGCTATTAAAAAAGGAGGAGCACTGCACCAGAGAGTGAACAGTAACCACTGGGACTTTAGAGCTTAGGACACAAATGTTAGTTTTGGACTTACCAAAATGAACTAGCCAATACACCAGGCAGTCTGGCCAACGGCCGTACCTGGCAATCGCTCTGCATTTGACATGGGCCAAGCTCCCTGGAAATACTTGGCAGAATAATGTTTAAGACAAACACAGCCTAATCATCTGCCAAGGACTGCATCTGTCAGAAACAGGCAGCTTCCTCGTCCTTAGCTGTGTGGTGCTTGGAGCTAAAGCAGGCACAGTAGCATCAGACGTAGAGTGCTAATCAGAACTGGCCTTTGTAGAACTTCTCTATGGAAAAACCACGATGGGGCTCCCTCAGGTGTCAGTGATTTCTGGGATCTCTGGCTCATCACTTACACTGGTAACACTTGCACATCCTTTATATGCACAGGGGGATTCCGGCGGTCCAGTGGTCTGCAACGGGCAGCTCCAGGGCATTGTTTCCTGGGGTCTTGGATGTGCCCAGAAAGGCTACCCTGGGGTTTACACTAAGGTCTGCAATTACGTCTCCTGGATCGAGGCAACCATTGCTGCCTATTGAGACCCTCCCGTTCTACCTGACCTGCTTTTTCTCCTCAACTTTTTCTTCTGTTTTGGGACTGGGCATACAAAATTTATGAAAAAATAAACACTTTCAGGCACCCGTTCTTTGTGCAGCATTTCTCTGAGCAGCCCCATAGGCTGTGATACGGAGGACAGGCGCAGGGAATGGCACTCTGATCAAATATTTAATCTCTGTAGTGCCTCTCAACTAGCACGATCTCAGAACATTTTGTAGACTCACCTTCAGGAGTTTCAGACCGTCACATTGTCGTGGTTTAAACCAAACCAGACAACTCGTTCACTCACTCCCCCCCTTCTTGCTCTCCCCCTACTCCCAGAGGGACGGAGAGGAGAATCGAAAAGAATGAAACTCCCACGGGTTGAGATAAGAACAGTTTAGTAACTAAGATATAACACAAATCACTACTGCTGCCACCAATGATAATAATGATAAAGGAAATAACAAGGGAAGAGAATACAACACCTCACCACCAACCAACCGATAACTCGCCCCCCCCAGCCCGACCAAGCACCGACCGATACCTCCTCCAACCCCGCAGTCTCCCAGCCCTTACGGCTAACTCCCAGTTACCTCCTGGGCATGACGTGCTGTGGTATGGAATACCTCTTTGGTCAGTTTGGGTCAGGTGTCCTGTCTCTGCTTCCTCCTGGCTTCCCCTCCTCCCTGGCAGAGCATGAGGCTCACAAAGTCCTTGGCCAAACCAAAACATCTCTATCAGCTCTGTTCCCAGGCCAAAAGTCAAAACACTGCACTGCACCAGCTACCAAGAAGGAGAAAAATGACTGCTACTGCTAAACCCAGGACACACATGCAGCTGCTTTTGGAGCAGAACATCTTTTCTGCTTGTCAGCACATCTCAGTGCTATAAAACTGCCGAAAACCATTGAGAGAGCACCCTGAATAACACGGGCAGCACAAACCTACTGTAGAAACCCACAGGCAGCAACACAAATGCTCCCCATTGTCTCCCACTCCCACCTCCAACAATATGACTTAACATTCCCTAACGGAACTTCCCTGAAAGCCCTACCTGGGGAATGAAACAATCCCTGACTAGGACATGCTCTCCTCATGGGTCAGTGCCACTGCAGCTGCTGGCTATGCTTTTCTTCTCAGTTAATGGGTCATACTGGGCTTGCTTAAATTTCCTGGAAGAGTCAAAAGGACAGAGATATTCCTGGGTTCTGTATTTATCTCCCACTACCCCCAACTGGCACTGGAATTGAAAGTCCATGAAAAAGCTCTCATTTATTCTGGCATTAATGAGGAGCAATGTTTCCTCAGGCACTGCTGGTGAAGGCTAAATATAGTATGAAAAGGAAAGTAAGGAACCAGCTATGGTGTGTCTTGTGACCAAAAGTACTCACAGCAGCAGCTCCTACTCATTTTCAGTTTCTGTCATGTCCACCAACCAAGTTTCACCATCAGCATGAGCTGGGACTCCAGGGTGTCAGAGGGCAGGCTCACTTCTGGAGTGCAGTCAACATTTTCTGGACTTAAGTTTCACACAAGACACAAGTAGCTGCTTGCATTTCAAGTGAGCCTCAACTCTTTGCTATTGAAAACTGCCTCTCCTGACACACACTTTTTCACAGAAAAAGGGTTTATTCTTCTTTAGTTACTGTGCAATGGACATCTGGAGAGAGGGACATAGGAATGGCACTGCAAATGCTTTTGCCAGAGCTGGCAGGAAGTCACATCAGGTTATTCTCCTAAATGTCTGCCTTCACATCCCTACGGGGAAAAAAACAATCTACCCATCACAAAACCCAAAGAAACAACAATACCAAAAGGACCCTAAGCTTCACTTTTGCTTTGAAAACTGCTAAGGCCTCAAGCTGCACAAGTGGAGTTTTAGACCGGAGATCAGGAACAATTCCTTCCCCAGAGGGTGCTCAGGCATTGGAACAGGCTGCCCAGGGCAGTGCTGGAGTCACCGTCCCCAGAAGTGTTCACACACCGTAGAGACGAGGCCCTCAGTGCCATGGCTTAGTGGCGGCCCTGGCAGTGCTGGAGTCAAGGTTGGACTTGATGAGCTTAAAGGTCTTTTACAACCGAGTTGATTCCATGATTCTGTGAACATCTGTACTTCTACCAGTGGGTGGAAGTTTCTCACACACAGCAGGTGTTGTGAGTCGCAGTTTAAGCCAGGCCAGTAAATAAGCACCACGCAGCAAAACCCTCCACCTCCCCCCCTCCTCCTGGCAGAAAAATTGGATAAATGTAAACCCCATGCGTTGAGATAAGAAGAGTTTAATAAATAACAAGGAGAGAGTATACGAAACTAAAAGGGGAAAGGAAAAACATCAGTAAACACAGGTGATGCACAATAGAATTGCTTAGCACCCACTGACCAATACCCAGCCTGGCTCAAGGAGCGATCGTCCCTTCCAAGGGACTCTGCCAATTTCTATACTGGGCATGATTTGCTGTGGCATGGAATAGCCCTTTGGCTACACCAGGTCAGGTGTCCTGTCTCTGCTTCCTCCAGCCTTCTTGTGACCCTCCTCCCTGGAGGAGTTTGAGGGCTGCTCTCAAAAGTTGCTGCAAAGAAGAATGAGACAACCGAACCACTACACATCTTCCAAAGCCCAGATGTATTTTTAAATTGAAGGGCACCATCTGCAATAACTTAGAATAGCTCCCTATGAGGAAAGGTTTATGATTAACTGATCTATGGTTTGCACCTTCTACCAATGCCTCTCAATCCCCACATTTGGATCTTCCAATTTTCCACTGTGTACTTTTTGCCTGGAGAAAACCTTGGACAAGAGATAAGGCCGTTTCGAAAAACGTATTTCTAGCAGCTCATGCTTCCAGTCCACCAGTCGGGCCGTGGGGCTGTGTCACCATCATGAAATACATACTGTTTGTCGCCTTTGTTGGCGTGGCAGGTGAGTATACTTTTTACTTCTCTTTTTGGAATTCCTAAGGAAGCTCATTTCCTGAGCAAGTTTGGAAGGTGTTCCACTGGGGGAAAGTGAAGCCCACGTTCAACTTGCAAAACTTTTAAGGGAGAGCATTGCAACTTCTTCTGTCTGCTGCCTCTGATCATAATTGCTTGTGTCTCAAAATGGGGAATGAAATGACTTCATAGGGGTTCTTGGCCCAGGAGTACTGAAATGTGCGCACAGCTTCAAAAACAGACAGGCTCTCTATTAAGCTCTATGAAGTATAAAGACACAACCTCTGGCCCATGAAGTCCTAAAGTCACAGTAAATCATTGGACTATGGGCAAGTGAGATGCTTCAGTCACAGGGGCACAAGATTCCTTATGCTAGACGGTGACAGTTATCTCTTACCTCTTATCTCCCAGTTGCCTTCCCCGTCAACAATGATGATGATGATGACAAGATTGTCGGAGGCTACACCTGTGCAGCGAACTCCGTCCCATTTCAGGTGTCCCTGAACAATGGGTATCACTTCTGTGGAGGCTCCCTGATCAACAGCCAGTGGGTCTTGACAGCGGCTCACTGCTACAAGTAGTAAGTGGAAAAAACATGATCTTCTGTAACCTACTTCTTTCTCCCAGTTCACTTCCAGCAGGAATTCGGAGCTGTGAGATCCAAGTATGTAAGTGATGCCGTCCAAGGAGTGGGCATCTCGTTCAGAAAGCTGGGCTGAAGCATCATAAGGGCGTTTCCACTTCTGGAAACGTTTCTGTGAATGCAGAGCACTTTCTGAAATGACAGTGTGACCATTGAGCAGTGAGAAACAGGCTGTGATTTCTTATGGATTCCATTAATCTTGCTAAAACTCAGGCACTGGAGAAGAGGGAGAGGAACGAGCTCAGGGTGACAGTTTGTCTTTCCCCCAAATGCTTGTATAAAGCACGGTAATGCATACAACTTGTCTCAGCTCAACAAAATAAACCTGCAGAAATTCACCATCGGAACTGGGAATGGGTAAGATCTCAGTGTGGATTCCTAGGACAAGAAAGGTAACCTGCACAAAAACAGCTATTACGACAGCTGTGTTGCAGTGAGTGCATAAGGTGACAGGGAGGTTCCTTCTAACTTGTCGGCAGCCATAAAGTGTATTCCATTTTTCTGTTTTCCAGTCCCATGCAAGTGCAGCTTGGGAAACATAACCTGGCACTCAAAGAATCGACACAGCAGGTGATCAGAGCATCTAAAATCATCCGTCACTCTGGTTTTGACTCCGACACACTGGACAATGACATTATGCTCATCAAACTCGCCACACCAGCCCAGCTCAACGACGCTGTACAAACAGTTTCTCTGCCCACCAGCTGCGTGACCGCAGGCACCGAATGCCTCATCTCTGGCTGGGGAAAAACACGCAGCAGTGGAAGTGAGTACCCTGTGGGCATGTATGGCACCATGAGGGCCTGGGAGACATTTAACTCACAGTTAACAGTGCAGGGTAAAGAACAGACGAGTGGTGTGGGACAGGTCTTTTTGAGTGGTAAGTCCCTGTAGGACAGGAACCATGTGACTACTTTAAAGGCAAGCCTTTGTAAGGTGCTTCCTCTGTTTCTGTGTTATGGATGTGGAACCACTTAAGTCATCCACGTGCTGTTCACAATGTTATAGATTTTGTGGTCTGGAGCTCTCAGTTGTGCAGTGCCAAGCACAAGCAATTTAACTGATGTCAATGGAGCTGTCGCTTCTCTGAGCGCAAGACATAAATATGTGACTGTGGTCTCAAATGACTGCAAGAGAGTTCTGTTTTCTTACACCAATGGTCAGAGGTGTGGACGGTGACTGGTGTCTAATCCACCGGGGACAACTGAAGCTGCAGCAGCGAGAGGATGGTTTTCCTGAAGCGCAGTTTTCCTCCAGTATATGTGCTTCACAGTAGCTCTCAGCTCCCGACCTGACAACAGATGATTGTCTAGCAGACTGTGGTGCTTGACCCGAGCTGGATGCCAGGTGCCCACCAAAGCCTTTCCCACAGCCCTGTCTTCTTCCTGGGATTAAATTTCCTCCCACATTCTCTACCTCCTCTCCTGTAGCAGTGCAGGGAGTCAGGGAATGGGGGCTGTGGTCAGCTAATCACACGTCTCTGCTGCTCCATCCTCATGCTCTTCCAGCATTAACCTCCATGGGCTGCAGGGGGACAGCCTGCCCTACCGCAGTCTTTACCACAGGCTGCAGAGGCATCTTTGCTCTGGTGCCTGGAGCACCTCCTCCACTTCCTTCCTCACTGACCCTGGTGTCTGCAGAGCTGGTTCTCTCCATATTATTCCTCCACTCTCCCACTGTTGTGGATGGGCACAGCCTTATCTAGTGGTGAGTGAGCTGCCATTGGATCTGTTGGACACAGGGAAAGCTTCAAGCAGCTTCTCACAGAAGCCACTCCTGTAGTCCCCCCACTACCAAAACTTTACCATGAAAACCCAATACAGTACCTGAAAAATCAGTGTGGCTGCAATGTAGAACTGTGGACCCATGGCTAAAACCTGCTCCATCCATGCTGTGATTAGTGTTCAGAGGAGAAGTGACAACTGCAGAACCAGGATGTTTGGTGCTTCCTTTTCTGCTCAGACAGCTCATTTCCAGGCTCTGAAATTAAATCAGAGATGTTACCAACCATCTATCCCTATTTCTTGTAGGTGCGTATCCAGATACCTTGCAGTGCCTGAACGCTCCTGTACTCTCCTCAAGTGCATGCAGCAATGCCTACCCTGGGGATATTACAGATAACATGATATGTGTAGGATTCCTGGAGGGAGGAAAAGACTCCTGCCAGGTAAAGTATCTGCCTCTCCTTTCACCTACATTTCTCTCCCACCTTTTTCCAACAGAAGAGGCTTTACTACTAGAGAATTACTAGACTCACTGCATTGCCATGTCTGAAGGTTATTGTTTTATTTAACACCAGTGGAGGCGTAGGAACGAAGTTCCTTAGTGCATGAGGCTGGGTTTCTAACACTCAGTCATTGCCTCCTTCTCAGACAGCACTAACTCTGCACTAAATTTCTAGAAGCAGCCTTCTGCACTTCAGGCTATTAAAAAAGGAGGAGCACTGCACCAGAGAGTGAACAGTAACCACTGGGACTTTAGAGCTTAGGACACAAATGTTAGTTTTGGACTTACCAAAATGAACTAGCCAATACACCAGGCAGTCTGGCCAACGGCCGTACCTGGCAATCGCTCTGCATTTGACATGGGCCAAGCTCCCTGGAAATACTTGGCAGAATAATGTTTAAGACAAACACAGCCTAATCATCTGCCAAGGACTGCATCTGTCAGAAACAGGCAGCTTCCTCGTCCTTAGCTGTGCGGTGCTTGGAGCTAAAGCAGGCACAGTAGCATCAGACGTAGAGTGCTAATCAGAACTGGCCTTTGTAGAACTTCTCTATGGAAAAACCACGATGGGGCTCCCTCAGGTGTCAGTGATTTCTGGGATCTCTGGCTCATCACTTACACTGGTAACACTTGCTGACCATTCATATCCTTCATATGAGCAGGAGGATTCTGGCGGTCCAGTGGTCTGCAACGGGCAGCTCCAGGGCATTGTTTCCTGGGGTCTTGGATGTGCTCAGAAAGGCTACCCTGGGGTTTACACTAAGGTCTGCAATTACATCTCCTGGATCGAGGCAACCATTGCTGCCTATTGAGACCCTCCCGTTCTACCTGACCTGCTTTTTCTCCTCAACTTTTTCTTCTGTTTTGGGACTGGGCATACAAAATTTATGAAAAAATAAACACTTTCAGGCACCCGTTCTTTGTGCAGCATTTCTCTCAGTAGCCCCATAGGCTGTGATACGGAGGACAGGCGCAGGGAATGGCACTCTGATCAAATATTTAATCTCCATAGTGCCTCTCAACTAGCATGATCCGGGAACATTTTGTAGACTCACCTTCAGGAGTTTCAGATCATTACATGCAGCTGCTTTTGGAGCAGAACATCTTTTCTGCTTGTCAGCACATGTCAGTGCTATAGAACTGCCAAAAACCATTGAAAGCACCCTGAATAACACGGGCAGCACAAACCTACTGTAGAAACCCACAGGCAGCAACACAAATGCTCCCCATTGTCTCCCACTCCCACCTCCAACAATATGACTTAACATTCCCTAACGGAACTTCCCTGGAAGCCCTACCTGGGGAATGAAACAATCCCTGACTAGGACATGCTCTCCTCATGGGTCAGTGCCACTGCAGCTGCTGGCTATGCTTTTCTTCTCAGTTAATGGGTCATACTGGGCTTGCTTAAATTTCCTGGAAGAGTCAAAAGGACAGAGATATTCCTGGGTTCTGTATTTATCTCCCACTATCCCCAACTGGCACTGGAATTGAAAGCCCATGAAAAAGCTCTCATTTATTCTGGCATTAATGAGGAGCAATGTTTCCTCAGGCACTCCTGCTGAAGGCTAAATATAGTATGAAAAGGAAAGTAAGGAACCAGCTATGGTGTGTCTTGTGACCAGAAGTACTCACAGCAGCAGCTCCTACTCATTTTCAGTTTCTGTCATTTTTACCAACCAGGTCTCACCATCAGCATGAGCTGGGACTCCAAGGTGTCAGAGGGCAGGCTCACCGAGTTGATTCCATGATTCTGTGAACATCTGTACTTCTACCACTGTGTAGAAGTTTCTCACACACAGCAGATGTTGTGAGTTGCAGTTTAAGCCAGGTCAATAAATCAGCACCATGCTGCAAAACCCTCCACTTCCCCCCCTCCTCCTGGCAAAAAAAAATGAACAAACATAAAACCCCACGTGTTGAGATAAGAAGAGTTTAATAAATAACAAGGGGAGAGAATATGAAACTAAAAGGGGAAAGGAAACACATCAGTAAACACAGGTGATGCACAATAAAATTGCTCAGCACCCATCAACCGATACCCAGCCCAACCCAAGCAGCGATCGTCCCTTCAAAGGGACTCCGCCAGTTCCTATACTTGGCACGACATGCTGTGGTATGGAATAGCCCTTTGGCTACAGCGGGTCAGGTGTCCTGTCTCTGCTTCCTCCAGGCTTCTTGTGAGGAGGGGGGGTAAACATTACTGAAAACACTGATGTTCCAGCTGTTGCTATCAGCGTTATGCCCAGACTGAAGCTGAAACCCAGCACTGTATCACCCACTAGGAAGGAGAAAAAAACCTACACCTGTTACAGCTGAAACCAGGACACTGTATAAAGTGAGTGGGTGAAAACATGCAGTGAGACAGTGTAGAGCCTGTCGTTTTTGGTCTTACATTAGCCTGGGCTTTTCTACTTTGGACAAAGCTCCAAAATTGCATGAATTATGCTAAAGATTTCCAGCAGTGGTGGTTACTTAACCCCAACCGCTTACTATTTTTGAAGGCTGTTGCTTTTTTTTATTTGGAAACAAAGTCAACGGTATCAAGTGTCAAGGAATTTTCAAAACCACTCCCTATATAAGACTTCTGCATGCCTTTTAAGTTTTAAATTGCACAGGAAGAATGATGCGTACCGGATGAACTGGTAGTTTCTGGGAGCAGTTTTAGCCTATTCCTCCAAACAACCATTTTTTTTCCACCATTATTTTCCATATTAATAACAGAAAGCAAGCCTTTGTCCAAGCAGGAAGACAAGCTACAGTTTTACCCTTTCCCTGATACACATGACAAAGGACATCTTTGTGTGGAAACTTCTTACAAAGAGGTAGACAGCATCATTGAAGGTGCAGTGGAAAATCCATTGAGGGTGCAGTGAAGAAGGGGTTGCGACTTAAATATACAAATAAATAAATCATTTCAAGTTAATGATTAGTTTTGGGGATCATTTACAAAATTTAAAGTGTAAGAAATTTAAGTATGTATTACAAAAAGATGCGACAGAGCTTTTTTAGCTTATTTAAGAATTCTCCACCCATGTTGCTGTTCAAGGCCAGGCTGTATGGGGCTTGGAGCAACCTGCTCTAATGTGAAGCATCCCTGCCCATGGCAGGGTGTTGGAACTGGATGATCCAAACCTAACCATTCTATGATTCTACAGTCTATATTATATAATATATAATAATATATATCCAGTTCCAACCCCCCGCTTCCATAGGCAAGGACGCTTCACAGTAGACCATGTTGCCCAAGGGTTTGTTCAGCCTGGCCTTGAACACTGCCAGGGGTGGAACATTTACCACTTCTTTGGGCAACCTGTTCCAGCACTTCACCACCCTCACAGGGAAGAACTTCTTCCTTATATTGAACCTGAACTTCTCCTGTTTCAGTTTAAACCCACCACCCTTTGTCCTGTTCCTACAGTCCCTGATGAAAAGTCCCTCTCCGGTATCCAGAGCCAGCAGTGTACCCTGGCAGCAAAGGCACCCAACAGCATCCTGGGCTGTATTAACATGGTACTTTTTAATCTTTGATTCTTTTTGAGCTTCAGTGACTTCAGTTTTCAAGTTTTCTTTGCAGTCACAAGCAGCCTAAAAACATATTGTTCTTTGTATAGCAATGGGTAGACTGACATTCTTTTAGAATACTGTGAAGCAGAAGCTAAGACAAAAAAGGAACCTTAAAAGTGCAAAAAATATCAAAAGTTCTAGAAAAAAACCCAGAGATGAGAAAAGGCACCTGGGTTTGCTGAAGATCAGCTGCCCTTCTGTCTGTAAACAAGTAGTGATCTAACATTGCATAGAAAGCTAAACAGTTTTTGACTTATCTACATTCATGTAAATGAACATGTCTTTGTTAGTTTCTACATGTGATGAAAAAGACCTTAACTCTTACATTTCGTGTTAGTGTCACTGTCCCTTCTAAGAAAAGAGCAGACACTGGAAACAGTTCAGCTGGCCTTCAAAGCATCCACTTTATGGATGACTTCAGTGCTTGTTGGAAAACCTCCAAGAGAAAAGGTGGAAGCTTCTTCAGTGTTGAATTCTACAGCTTCTCTTCCATTCTTGTTTGTTCCACAAGGCAATTCTTTGCTTATGATTTAAGAGATGAAGCAAAAGAAAAGCACACAGGTAAATTATTATGTCTTCTCTTCTGGAAACTGAACTGGTTATACACAGTGCAGGCTTTAAATACTAATAAAGTATAAGATGAATTAAGACATTTCACATGATCCAAAGCAATCCAATTACAACAGGTAGGCGAACCATGGTATCTGACAGCCAGTAGCCATTTTACCCAAATTATCTGTATATGGTTAAAAACATTTCCCTGCAACTGCAGCATGTTAAGAACATTTACTCATTTATTGCCAGCCACCTGCTAAGCAGCTGGTAGGGTGTGAGGCTGTCCTGACTCCATGACTTTAGATCACTTAACTAGGTATTAAAGACACCGCTTTTATGCAAAGGTTGAGGTACAGTCTTAGTACCAACTGTGCACCACCACATATGAATGTGATGCTGCTGCTATTTCTTCCACACAGTAATACCAGGTGCTTTTTGAGTTTTCTCTTTTGAGGACTGCAAATAGAGCTCTTATTTGACAAGCAAGGAAACTGGAAGTAAAGGGAAATTGCAGTGCAGGAAGTTAGAACCCAGCTAGTTCAAGACTACGTGCCCTACTTGCCAACTTAACTCGCTCCATGCAACATGCATCAACATCTAACCAGGCTGATAACCAATAAAGCATACACAAAGCTCACATCAGTGTGTCTGTCTTGGTGTACACAAACAGTAAAAAAGGAACCAACTGGATGTGCCAAGCCAGCATCATCCAGTCTTTGCTCCTGTTTCGACAGCCCTACCCATCCCTTCTGCTAGTCTCTAGCTCAGCATCACTCCAATCTAGGATAAACTGCCAGCAGTCTAGGAGAGCAGCATATGGTAACACATGGTACTCATCTCTGTAGACAATAAGAAAAAGAATTGCGTCCCTATTTTAGTTCTCACAAGGTTCCTGTATAGGCCTGAGGTATATTTTATTTATATCTTTAAAACCCAAGCAGGTTTACTGCTTTACCTATGGGTGATTTATACCAGCTTGATGGACTGAAGAACGTGATTGAGAAGGCAGCCTGGGGGGGTGCTGCTGTTTGTGTCTATGCAGTAAGGGCCTGAATATGAAATTAGCATCCTCCTCATTTTATAGCTGTGGCAACAAGCATCAGGTTTCACACTCCCTACAGAACATGCAAAATGTTCTGTCCCCACAGAGCTTGCAAACTGCACCAAAGAAAGCACAGTTACATATGATGCCCTGACATTACATAATACAGCCATTTCAGATGCTAAACCTAAGTGCGACATAGGAGCACGGTTTGGCCAAGTGTGTGCCTGTGCAAAGCAGCACATCACATAGGCCAGGAATAATTTGCCAACTTACATCATTTGGTCTTCAGTATTACCCACTGGCAACTAACAGGATTTGCCTTGGATACCACAGCCTCCTCTCCAGCTCTACAGCCCTGTTTTAGGTCTGTTGCCTTGTTTCATGACAGTTTCATTGGCAGTTTCATCTACATCACTGAGTCAGGTTTCTTCTCATCAGTCTTAACTCACTCCCACCCTTCCGCTCATCCATGTTTTCTCACATTTGAAAATGATTGCTGGTTATCAGAGAGAGGAGATCAACACCTCCCGCTCCGCTGCCCCCTTTGAGCAAGGTGCAGACTGTGATAAGGATACGGCTTTCATTTTGCAAATAACAAAACTACTTTTTCCATCCGTTCCTTTCTTCCCTCACCAAGTTTATTTGCTAGAGCTAACCTAACTTCACATCCCACCAAAACTTTGTTTCTTCACAGATGTTCTATTTGTCAAGTACTTTAAAACTAGCTATGCTCTATGTAGAGCAGCCAGTACTGTCAAAGGCTCCAGCTCTGGGAAATCAGCGGGCTCAAAGTGCAGCAAATCTTCACAGTGTGAGAAAGTAACAGCTTCATGCAACACATTTCATAGGCACATCTCAGCCTGTCCTGATATCCCTGCAAAAGCCTCTCTCACCCCCCTAGCCCCTTCCCGTCTCCTGCCCTTCCTTCTACCTTTGATTCCGTCACTGACCAGCATCCCACCCCTCCAGTATGTCAGCTCAGTGTCCTTCAGAGCCCTTCACGATCTGATTTAACCTATTAGTCTCATGGGCAATGACCCAGGTTTTTCTGCTGAGTCACTTTCCTGCTACTTGAGTTAGCTTAACTGGCTCAGAGGGGTGAGATGAATACTAAAGCTGTTCCAAAGAGCAAGACCTCCACTTTTAGTGATAGTAAGTGGCTAGATTGGTTCAAGCCATCCTACAAACGATAGTCTCTGTGGAACAGTTTTCATCCATCTACAGTAAAGACAGATCTCCCTAGAGTCAGAGTAAAGTATGCTTGAGCTATGGTAAACTAAAGCAAGCTTCTCCAACATAGAAAAGTTGATTGCCATCATTAGATGGACTCAAAGTTCAGCAACAGTTCTCAGTATCACCTAATCTACATAAGCTTTACAGACATATCAGCAATGAGAAAGTGTTATTACGTATTTACCTACAGTTTTACATCTAAAAAATCTTACACAACTGCAGCGAAATTCTTTCCAAGCAGGTCAACCTGCACTTCAACTATATCCCTTGGGAATCGAGGGATTCACAATTATTGATGCAAGCTGATTTCACTTCTTCATGCTGCCACTGAATCTGTTAGGCTGACGAAATTACTTCTATCGCCACCACCTAGCTATCATGCAGGCCAAACTCTTTGAGATACAGCGCTATGCTTTAACTATTCCAACTGGTAGCTTCCTGTCTCATGGGTATGAGTTGAGCACAGCAAGTTGTTGGATCAGATTCAGCACAAGATATTTAAGAGGACTTGGTATAGGCCTGTCCCAGCAATAAATAGATCTTGAGGGCAAGCTTTATGATACTCTGAATAAAGGTAGTGAAGGCACACTTGGATAGGAATGGGAGAGGCCATAAATACTCAGTAAATAGAAACACATAGCAAATGAAACACCTAGTCTGAAGGAGAAATACACAAATACAAACTACAACATTTCCCAGTACACAGAGCCCAGTGTCTGAATGCACAAAGTTTAGTATATTACTTCTTTCAAACCTATTGCCCTTGCCTAAGTTGCACTGGTTTCTTCTGCTGTGTTTACAATACATCCCAGAGTCAGAAACTTCCTAACATTCTAGAGAAACTCCGTTCAGTCATCTTGAAGCATGTTGAGCTCCATTAGGAAGTACTATACATACCTCTTTCGCATAGAAATGCTACTATTACTGCAACTGCCATGCAAATAACAAAAGCTGCAATAAGACCATCTCTGCTTCTTTTGTGATGGCTGTCTCCTTTAAACAAATAAAATAAGGATTGGTCAGTTAGAAAGCAACTGTGTGCTACACTACTTCAGAACAGATACAACCCTGAGTATCTTTATAGGTATTTGGTTTTTAAAAAGTAACCTCAAGAAATTAATGTACCAGAATGAGTTATTAGCAAAACCCTACATCAGCTGTGGTAGTTAGACACTAAGTTCCTTAGTACAGCAAAGGCACATCACCACTTGAAAGTCAATGCCCACCCCATTTTTTGGCCTATGAAAGGCTGAGCCAGAAATCAGCCAAATAAAATTTCATCAAATATCTTCTCTTGGGTTTGCAAGCAAGGTTTTGGTAGCAGGGAGACTTTATGGGTGGCTTCTGTAAGAAGATGCCAGAAGCGGCCCCCATGTCAGACAGCCAGGGCCAGCTGGCTCCAAGATGGACCCACCACTGGCCAAGGCCAAGCCCATCGGCAACAGTGGTAACACTTCTGCAATAACCTATTTAAGAACGGGTAAAAACTGACATGCAACAGCAGACAGAGGAGTGAGAATGTTCAAGAGAAACAGCCCTGCAGACATCAAGATCAGTGAAGAAGGAGGAAGGAGAGGAGGTACTCCAGGCACCAGAGCAGAGACTCCTCTGCACCATGGAGAGCCATGGTGGAGCAGATATCCCCCTGCAGCCCATGGAGGTCCACGGTGGAGCAGATATTCACCTGCAGCCCGTGGAGGGCTCATTACTTTTTTTTACCTGAAAAGCACTGAGTCAAAGAGATTTCAGAGCTCTTTTCCGTTTGAGAGAACTTAATGAAGCACACAGCTTTTGTGGAAGCACCAACATCCTTCTTAGGGATGAAAACTTCTGGGATGTGACGAACGATTGGTGGATTGCCATTCAACTTCCACGTGTAATGCAGAGGCTTTGGGAAATCTGCTGTACATTTCAACACAAAGGCATCCCCGCTGTCATTGCAACTTGCTTCAGGTTTTGAAGGGGGAGCTAGAAAGAAGAAAAAAGAAAAACAAAGACCATACTATATTACTTTGGTAATAAACCACCTTGAATTTTAGCACAGACAACAAAAGCAGCAGGAGGGTGCATAGATAAAAACATATGTGTGTGTGTGTGTGTGTGTGTGTGTGTGTGTGTGTGCTCACGCACATCTGTGAGAAATCTGTTTCTAAAAGCAGCCCTGTTTGTGGTGGTTCTGTGCCTAGTTCAAGACTCCTCATGGTTCGCTGTCAAGAGGATTAATACAAACACTGGCCAAATACATTTCTCAATGTAAAGCTGTCTAGATCTGCACAGGATAATACCAAAGATATTTAACTATGTATAGTATGCCTGAAGGAACATCTTTAGTAGACAACTAATGCCTGGGATAACTTGGGTGAGCTTGCTCAAAGAGTTTGGTTATCTACCTGAAAGTACACAGCGTGCCATCTATACTCATTCAAGAAATCATTCCAAGGTGAGCAATGACAGGCACATGAATTAGATGCCACCTTTGGAAATCTGTTTAAAGTGCCAAAGCAACTTAACAGAGCCAAAAGAACAGCCTCCCACTGTTGCCATTCGCTTCCCTGACAAATAAACAACCCCCTTTCTAGCCTTCTTAAAGCAAATAAAGTGGTGCAAGTTCTTCATGCAGTTCTTCCACTACTTACGTAGCACAGTAAGTGTGAAGGTTAAGGGAGAACTTTCTTTCTGAGTACTGAAGTACTCCAATACGTATACGCCAGCATCACTGTTCTGCAAGTTAAATATAGTCAAGCAGCCATTCTCCTCATTAAGGAAGCTTCTGTTACGGAGAGAAGGAAAATACGTCGTGTTTTGTCCTTCCCATTCAGCCACTTTATCCTTGTTTTTCGTCCAAATTATTTCATCTGGGTTTTTTTCTATATTCACTGGAAAAGTAAAATTTTCTCCCACGATGCCAAACAGGTCCTGGCAGCAGATGCCTGCTACAGAGAAAAAAAAGAAAAAAGTTACTTTAACAATTGTTTTATACGCTATTGCCTGACTAATACTCTATGTACTACCAGATACATTCAAATTTAGGTTAGAAGCACATCACGATGTTGATAAATAAGGCATGCATCAGTTAAGTATTACTCAAACCTGGGCTTTCTGCACAACTGTGTGACAAGCACCACAAAGGGATGCACTTTCCACATAACGGTCCCAGGTAGAATCACTGTCCGAATCTTCTTCCCTACCCTAAGCTCCTCTGTCCTCGGTACTTTTCCTTTATTCACCTGAATTAGGCCTCCTGCCTATGGTCTGGTGAAAAAAGATAAAATGAAGAGTTGTCATCACCAGCAAAATCTGTCTCAGCATCCTGCTGCAGAACACCCAAATGGAAGATCCTGCTGAGCAAATAAACTGCAATTTTTCCAGCACGAGTACCCACAGAGTTAGTAAAAAGCACACTTCCAACACAAAGTTGCTACTCTGTTCAAAGCATCTGCTCTGAACTCATGGGGATCCTAGGGACTTCCCCTGGAAACCTCACTTCATCAAGTATATGTTAAGTAACTTCCCAAGCAAGAGAAGGGGAATGTCCAGAAACCCTTACTGCTATGAGTGTTGAATCAATTATACTCTGCTCAAAAAACCTAGACGTTCAATACAAACCAACACACAACAAGAGAAAAGAAGAACAGCAAGAGATTTTTCCTTGTTTTTATTAAGGACAGCTACACGTGCTAAAAAATCGACTCATCTAACAGATGCTAGAACATTCTGCTGTGGAGAAGGGATACTGTAAGCCATTAGCACCTCTGTGTCCCTGCTCCGGTCTTCAGCAATCACTTCCTACTTCTACTTCTGAATGGCTCTAACAGAAAAGAAAATCACAGGACTACTGCCGTGGCAGGCATGTATGTGCACACTGACAAAAACATGGCAATACTGAGTTCAAATTACACATGCAATTAAGGACTTGATTCTACTCCACTACTAAGTTGAAGGAAGGGCATGAGTATAAATACAGTAACTGCACACAGTGAAAAAGAAATATTTCGTGAGCTTATTCTTCAAGACAATTGCTCCCATGTGATAGCTACTATTTTGGGTTTACTTCTGTGGTTTTGGGGGAGGTTTATTCCTAAACGGCATCAAGTCAAGAACTCATCAATTCCTGTATCATTCTGTGCTTCCCTCCCTTTTCATGCCATCTTCATATGAAAACTACTGTTCATAAAATCATTGTGGATACTACAGCTTTATCGCATCAGAACAAGCCACTTCACTGCGTATGAGTCCTGAAAACAAACCGCAGGCCATGTCACTCCACATCCGATCTCCTTTCCACAGGAAAGCAGTCAGGAGGTCAGCATGGCCAGTAATTAAGATTAGGTTTCCCACAGGCAAAGAACAATGCTTGACAGCATGCTAGAGCATTCTGCTCTTTGGCCTGGTGTCACACCACAGAAACTTTCGCAGAGAGAGAATGAAGACAAGCAATGGGAAACACACTTCTGTGTGCCAGGTACAGAACTCCACGCACAGAAGGTCTCATCCAGGCCTTACTTATGGACCATCCAATCTGTTTGCAATGAGTACTGTTCTCATGCCATTACAGTTTCTACTTTTGTTGTCTGCACTTACACAGCAGCCTTTTCCAGGCACAGGAACTGGAAAAGCAAAGAGGAGAGAGGGCTCAGCTACCACTCCCACATCTTTTCATGACAACCCTGCTGCCTTTGTCTTCTCTCCCGCTGAGACAGATTTAAACATTTCACTTGCTCCTGCTGTTCCAATATGAGCATCTCTTTCCACTCATCTCAATTAGCAATTTCCAGAAAAGCACAGAACCCAGGATCTCCAAACATTTGTCTTTGGAGACCACAAGGCAGCAGGATGCTGTGCAAAATGAAACACTGTTTTGATGTGATGAAGCTTTGGTGTCTTGTTAGAGATTTGTTTCATAAAGGCAATGCTTAGGAGTGCATCTTCATCGAGAAGTCCTCTCTTACTGCCTAGGGACCTACAGTGCTCCTAGCATGGTGTCATGGTTTAAAACCAGTCAGGAACCTCGTTCACTCACTCCCCCCCCTTCTTGCCCTCCCCCTACTCCTGGAGGGACGGAGAGGAGAATCAAAAAGAATGCAACTCCCACAGGTTGAGATAAGAACAGTTTAGTAACTAAGGTATAACACAGATCACTACTGCTACCACCAATGATAATAATGATAAAGGAAATAACAAGGGAACAGAATACAACACCTCAGCACCAGCCAACCGATAACTCGCCCAGCCCGACCAAGCACCGACCGATACCTCGTCCAACCCTGCCGTCCACTCCCTTCCAGGTAACTCTCAGTTACCTCCTGGGCATGACGTGCTGTGGTATGGAATACCTCTTTGGCTAGCCCAGGTCAGGTGTCCTGTCCCTGCTTCCTCCTGGCTTCCCCTCCTCCCTGGCAGAGCATGAGGCTCACAAAGTCCTTGGTCAGGCTAAAACATCGGTGTTATCAGTTCTGTTCCCAGGCCAAAAGTCAAAACACAACGCTGCATCAGCTACTAAGAAGGAGAAAAAGGACTGCTACTGCTGAACACAGGACACATGGAAAAATACTCCCTGCTCTACCAACCATGAAACTATGCCTCTCATTAACTTTAGCTCACAGACCCACAGCCAGACTGAGGTGGCTTAATGTATCAAGCCACAGCGCTGTTGGCACGAGCAAGGTAATGCAATTCCCTTCTGGGAAGAAAGCAGCCATTTTCCAGATACCAAAAGAACAAGCAAGGAGAACCACCACTGCTCAGCCCACCACTAATAACTTCCTAAGCCTGGGTATTGATGCATGTAAACTCTGTATCATTGCTCTCGAAAGTTAGTCACAAAAGCTAGGCTGGAGTTACAAGAGCAAGGTTGTTTCTTCTTCAAGCCCAGAAATGAGACTGGAAGAAAGCAGAGCTGAAAAGAAAACGCATTTTCCCTCCACAGCTGCTACTTGGTATGGGTGATCACTGTCCTCTTCAGCTCATTGTTGTTTTGTTGGCTGCTGAAAAAATGGCATGGCAGCAAGGAGCTGAAGAGTTCCTGCCCAAGGACACTCAGAGCTCCCAGGAGTAAGACAGGATCAACATCACCTCCTCCCCTCTAAAACCAGGGGGAGTGAGAGATCACTCACTCACTTCCCTGCTCTGCTGTACTAGTGACAGTCTGAACAAACCTCCCACTCAATGCTGACAGCTTCCTTTTCTTCAAGGAAATGATGTATAAGGTCTCCACCACTGTTTCAGCTTCTAAAGAAAGCAAGTGCCATTGTATGTTTCCTAAATTTCCCAGGGATTTCCCCCCCTCTTTTCTACTTCATTTTATAAGGGGACAGATCTCCCATTTCACAGCAGTTAACCTCTCTGCTGGACAAACACCTTTAACCACACTTGTCAACTCTCAAGATCCAAGGAGCCTGTGCATCAATCCAGAGATGATCCTGGCTTTCCAAGGACTAAGACCATTAATCACATTAAGCTAAGAAACTCTCAAGTAACATTTTTCACTCTGCGTCCATCCTGTCGCATTAAATGTCAATGGAAAAAAAAACGCACCTATTTGTTCCTTTTTGGTATTAATCACAGCCACAGCTCTGGAGACAAAGATTTATCAAGAGCTTTTAAGCAGGCAGGAGAGGATTCTTTTTTCCTTTTGTGAGGAACTGGACAGGGCTTTGAGCACCCTGGTCAAGTGGATGGTGCCCCTACCCACGGCATGGAGGTTGGAACTAGACGAGCTTTAAGGTTCTTTCCAACCCAAACCATTCTGTGATTCTATGAAATTCAGGGCTTCCTGTTTATTCAGGAAGATTCAAGAGTAAGGTAACAGGACAACACAATCGGTGTCAGCTTTAGGCAGCTGATGACCGATCTTTCAATTCATACCATTTAAAACCATGTTCAGCGTTCCTATTAACAACCTGCTGAACTAACCACCTTCTACAAGCAACACGGATTTCTGAGAAGCCCAGAGTTTTCCCCATTCACCAGAAAGGCGCTGGGAGCTGCTCTAAGGTCTCCCCGGAGCCTTCCCGTTCCCAGGCTGAACAAGCCCAGCTCCCAGCCCTCCTCACAGGACAGGAGCTTCATCGCCCTGCTCATCGCGCAGTTCCAGCACACGCGAGAGGAAGCGGCGCTGCCGAGCGCCTCCATTCAAACGGACTGGAACGGAGGAGCCGCCCTCAAAGCCGGAGCCCAACTTTCTCAGCCGCCGCTCCAGGAGGGGGGGGACGGTAACGGGCGCAGAGCTCCTCCGCAGGGACGCCGCCAACACTCGCTGCCCGCCCCGACGCCGGTCAGGGGAGCCGGGCGGCAGGGAAGGAGGGAAGAGAACACTCGGAGGGCTCAGGAATGGTCCGCCACGAGGGCCTCCCCCCAACCAACACTTACCTAGGAAGACCAGCAGCCACAGCAGCAGCGGCGGCACCACCGGCCGCATGGTATGGTCTGGTCTGGTCTGAGCGCGCCGCCCGACTGCTTGCTCGTTCTCCTCTCCTCCGCTTCCTCACTCACAAGCGCTGCTCACCCTGCTCTCCTCGCCGCCTCTCCCACGCATTGCGCAACCACAATCTCAGGAAGGGCGAGAATAGCAGGGCCGCCTCGCCCCACCCCTTTCCCTATCCCCTCCCTCTTTTTTTCCTTCTCCCAGTCATCTCGCTTTCTCCTTTTCTCCCTATTCCCTCCCTCTTCTTCCTCCTCCTCTCTCCCCTTCTTCATCTCCCTCTCGCACTCTCCGCTTCCCTCATCCTCTCCCTCCCTCTTCGCCAGGCGACTCGCCCCAGGAGCTGGGTCCGCCTGCGGAGCCGCCGGGCCAAGGTCAGCAAAGGGGTTTCGGACCGTGCCGGTGTCTTGGTGGGTTGCGGCTGGCAGAGAGGAGCTGAGGGGGAGGTGGTGCTGCGAAAGGTGGAGGGGGGGGGGGGGGATGTCTGCTTAGTGGGGGTGCAACTACAGCGAACGCGGGCGGTACAAGTTGTTGTGCTGCCATACAACAGGGGGAGCATCAACGCTGCTGGCTGGAAAGCTGACATGAAATCACATAGAATCATTCGTGTTGGAAGGGACCTCTGGAGAGCACCTGGTCCAATCCCCCTGCCCAGGTAGGGACACCTAGAGCAGGTTGCGCAGGAACGCGTCCAGGCGGGTTTGGGAGCCACACAGGTTGGGGGAAGAACAAATTTCAGCAGGTAATGTGCAGCTCACTGCCTCAGAAAATGATGCTCATCCAAACCTAGTACTCCCTGCAGCCTGGCGTTTGACGCCAATGGTCCACAAAAGCCTGCTGTTCGCTTTGAGGGACACCCCAGCAGTATCCCCTTCTGAAGGCTGATCTCGAGGCACAGTGCGTTGTCCTGGATGAGAAGATCCCAGCTGCCAGCAGGTCCAGCTTACAGCCTCAAAGCATGCAGTTCATGTTCAGCTGCCTGCCCCAGGGAACACCAGCACAGCACTAGTACAGGACCGGGAGGCTCTCGCCATAGTTTTATGTCTTGGCTGAGAGAGACCAGATTGGAGCCGGTTGCTGGGAGGATGCCACTTCCCACCTTGTACAGGTCAACTTTCCTGTAGCTTATGAGATCTTTGGGGTTAGCAGAGAGAAAACTGAAGTAGAGACTGACACTGTCACTTAGAAACAGATTATTTTAGAGTGGAAGGAACCACAGGAGCTCACCCACATGCATCCAAAGCAGGACTAAGTTCTTCCTACTGAAGAACTTCCACATTGTGACAAGAGCTTCACAGGGCAAAGAAAGTGAGTGAAGCAAGAGAGAAACTTGAGCCTGGTAGCTGGTGCCCTGACCTAGGCTCCTCTGGTTTTGGGAACTATAAGGATACGTGGCAAGGATACATTCTTCCCTCATGTGCATATTTATATAGTCATACTAGGTAACATGCCCCTAAAGTACTCATTAAAGAGCAAATGACAGGTTTTCCTCCTTTCCTTACTGAGTACCCAATGAGCCTTGCCCATGTCTTCCCTTCCTCAGTTGCTGAGTCAATTTTTAATGCTTTCTTCCTACCATCTCATAGTTAGGACACTCTTCTGAAAATCAGGAGTTTGAATGGCTTTTTGTTGACATGAGAACTAAACCCTGTTCCTCTGTTAGTTCTGGAAACAATATCCTGGAGCCTCCATGCTGCTAATCCATGGTTTCTACTCCATAGGCAAAGGACAAGAATTACCAAAGCTGTGATACCAACTATTCTGGCAGCAGAATGGATCCAGGCCTTAATGTACAGTGAGACAAGCTCTGCATGTGTTTCATGCCCTCCCTTGTATGCAAAGACCATAGAAAGTAGTTTTAAATAGTCACCATTTGCATAATTCACAGTTGGTTTCCTCCAAGGTCCCATGCTGCCACCCTGATGGCGTTGGTATCAATGAATGGTTTTCCAGGATAAGTGAATTTTCCTGTGATCAGATTTCCACTTGACTACTGGGCGCTTGCAGTGCTCGTATGCCTCTGCCAGCTTTGTGGGTGGGAGAATGACATTCCCAGTTGAGTTGGGCACTTGCAGCATTTGCTTGAATGTGCAGACAGTGCAATTTATTTTCAATGTTTTTCATGAAAGGAAATTGTGTCTAAAACAGAGTTTGTTTGCTTTCACTATCCTGGACTCATTCGCAAGTGAATCACACCATGAGGAACTGTTGGAAGAAATCAGACGCAGTGCCTTTGCAGCGTTGCCATTATCATCAGTTCCATAGGGGGGTACCATGAGTGACACCAAGGGTAAATTTCTGAGCCAATATAACTGTAGTTACTGAGTAAATAAGTTCACGGATAAAAAGAAACCCCTTCTCACCAAAATAGTTTTTGGAGGCAAGAGCATTTTCAGCACAGAGGAAGCTAGTGGCTTTCACTGTTTGCATGAGGAGCCACCGCAGCGTGCTGATGTAATACAGAATTTCTTGGAATTACTAAACCTGAGATTACAGAAGAAAACCCAAATGGAAAACGCAACACAAAACTGCTCAGGAAACAGAATTTTCAATGTCATGAAAGTGCTGGGGGGGTTGTTTCATTTTGGGTTGGTTTTTTTTTTAGCGTTCCAGGATGTTTTTGAAACAGTGTGCATGTTATGTGTATAAATCAGATGCGCACGTCTTGGCAGCAGGTTTGTTCTTTTCTAAGCTGTGATACCCAGTGCCTGCCTTATATTACATGGTGTTTCATAATGTCCATAGAACTTGGCAAAGAGTAACTGTCGCAACCTGCTACACAGAATGGGGCTTATTGCCAGAATTCTCAATAAAAAAATGGAAAGACGTGTTTGCTGGTTTTCTTTAGGCGCTCCAGTTTGTTTTACCTTAAGAAATTAGTAATTTACGCAATTATCCTGTTGCCCTGAAGCCTTGTATGGACATATCATTGTCTGTTGGTATTTCACAAGTTTATTTCCTTCTTTCTCGATTGAGGGATTATCCAGATCACTGGAATTTGTGGGTGTAACGAAGGAGTGGGCCCATTGTAGTCTATGGGCTTTTATCTTATGGTTTGTGAATCATCTTGAATCTAGTGCTGGGATTGGAAAGATGAAAAGCAGGCTGGAAACCAGGATTTGGCTATTTCTATTGCAGCTTTCATTCTTGGAGAACTGACTGGCCTGACAAACTCAATCGCATATTTGAAGAGACACTAAGAACCTGCTTCTCTGACAATAAGCCAGCTTGATTATGGAGCCAGGTATTTCAGGATCAGAATGTATCTGTATATGTGTCTCTAGGAGATACAGATGGGCAGGGATTTAGTAGCCCTCCAGGCCAGGCAGCTAATGCTGCCTAACTTCCCTGTGAGAACTGGACAAGTTTCTCTCAGGAGTGACTTGGAAATAAAAAAGCTCTTCTGCCTATAACAGCCCCAAAGCCTTTGGCTGGAGAAAATGAGGGCAAGGAAATGACTGCTATTGCAAATAATTGCAAAGGAAGATAACGTTTGATGCTTCTGGAAAGATCTTTGGTCATGTTTCTGATCAGACTGAACCAATTTCTTCATTTTATTGTTCAAATAAAGCAGCTGTAGAATAGTGCCTGGACAGGTTACTGCTCCTTCACTCACAGAATCACCAAATCACCTAGGTTGGAAAACACCTTTGAGATCATCAAGTCCAACCATTCCCCTGGGACTGCAAAGTCCACCACTAACCCATGTCACTGAGGACCTCATCTACATGATTTTTGAACACCAGGGATGGTGATTCCACCAGTGCCCTGGCAGCCTGTTCCAATGCCTGATGTTCTTGCCATTTAACACAGTCAGGGGCAGATCTTCCCTGGGCTTCTGCAGGGAGGACCAACACACACCAATGAGACTTAGGAAACAGGCATGCTCTTACCAGACAGTTTTAACGCAGCCAGGGAGGTGGTACCACCCCCTCATGAATGTCGGGTGACTGACTCCTGGTTACATATTTGGTTCTTCACTTCTGCTTCTCCATCTGTTTACACCAAACAAGTAAAGTTTTTTAGTTCTGAGATCTGTTTGAAGTCTTTGCATGCTTACGAAACTGGTGCATTACTGAGATGATGCTTTTATTTCCTATAGTATCTGAAAATGAACTCTCCAAACGAAAAGTTAAGAGTGTCCCAGCCCTAAGAAATGTACAGTCTGAGTGTATTATGGTGAAATGGCCACCAGTTACATTTTACTTTTCAGAAGCAATCTATTGCTTTGTGGTCTTTTAGCAGTTACTGCTAAAGTTAGAAATACAGGAAAGAGACAACAATGCAGTAGGAAAGTACACAGATGTGAAACTGATATGAATCTTCCTAGCATGGACTTACTGTGAAGTCTTGGACAAAGCAGTGTCCCTAGTCAGAATTTAGCAGGCAGGTCTAGGTGGCAAGGACAAAGCCCTATATCTCTGTCACTTGTTGGGGCTGGTTTCACTAGCCCATCTCTGAAATGGGAAGCTTGCCTTGAAGAAATGGAGGTAGGAAAGAAGCGTCAGCATGGTTTTCATCTGTTTCTGTTGACACAGACTACGGCAAATGGCCAAGTAAGAGCAGAGGTAATTGCCCCTACCCTTTTTTCCCAAAAGCCCACAGGCTGGTTGATCATTAACACAGTGAACATGATCAAGCAACCCATGATGGCTGTTTTTGCCTGGTACTTGGAGTGGACTAGCAGGAAGATGGTTGAGGATCCAAAGAGAAAGCTGCTCACTGTTCTTGCTGTCCTCTTGCTGCTCAACTCAGCACAAGCAGGTAAGTAAAACAGGAGTGCCTGGCAAAGGGATTGAAGGTTTTACATAGAAGGATTTGAATTCAAGTCTCCCCAGACAACCTGTGTGTCAAAAGATCCTTGCTATAATCTAGTTAGGTGCCAGGAGAAAGGGTGATGCAAGAATGGTACTTTCTTCTCCCATGCTTTGATTCAGTCTCAGTGATTGAATTCCACTAACCTGATGTAGGAGAGTGATCTGGATTTACTCTGAAGCGTAAGGAAGCGAAAAAGGGATTACTTGACTTCCGGCACTGGCATCTCATGCTTTGAAAGCAAGTGTAGCAAGTGTAATCTGCAGTAGCTGAGAGAAGATAAACAGGCACCATGCTTCTATTTCTTTCTTCAGTTGTGCTGGCAATGACTCTGTTATCATCACTGCAGCTCCACATCACCTGCATCACACTGCTTCACAGCGTGCCATATCTTTACTCATGATCCCTCTCATTTTACACCATTTCTGACCACACAGTGCTTGCACTGAACCCGTTCTTCCGTGTTAAGCTGCCTCAGGAGCTGCCTTTTCCCCAAACTGATCTCAGAGAACATGTTTTTCTCTCTTGCCTTCAGTACACAGGAAGGCCAAAATAAACCACAGAGGAATTGTCACTTCCCACAAAGGGGAATCTGAATATTGCATCTCATTGTGAGACTGTGCTGACCCTTAGGCCATGTTCTGCCTTAGCTAGTGTAAAGTATCTCTATAGGTACAGCCAGCGCTTAGGAACATGGTTGTCTGATTATATATCTATTCTATCATTGTACACGCAGATTCAAGGCTGTTTCGCTTCTTCCAGTCCGGGAAAGTGGCTGCACTGTCATCACAGCAGGATGCAAATATGCCACTTCATACAATAACACTTTTTAGGTCAGAAGGGATCATATAATTATTTAGCTTCCTGCTCATTGCAGGTCAATAAATTTCACCCCATTACTAAGCCTTCCACTATTTGAATACAAATATCCCCATTCAGTGGTGCCTATCTGTTGGCAACCATTTTTTTCTCAAAGATCTAGTAGCCAGCTCATAAATGTATGTAGTAGCTGTAACCAAAACCAACAGAACATCGTTCACATCTCAGTAAAACCACTCTCAAGTCAAAGCTACCATGACATCCACAGTTACTTCCCCAGGCAGTGCTGGAATTCCATTAAAATACAGAAACAGCTTCATCAGACTAAGTTTCCAGAATAGGCTGATTATAATTTATATTCTATCCTTTTTATCAATAGAAGTGAGAATGCTACTTTCTTTTTCCTAATGGATCAGAACAAGCTTTTATTTTTCCCATTGCAGAGATGCAGACTGAATATGCTGTTCACTGCCTTTCATTGCAGGGAATACAGACAAACTCCCAGGGCATCACTGTACTGACTTCCAGACAGCCAATTTCCTTCGGGGCAGTAAACTTAAGGTCCAGTTTCTTCTGTTCACCTCCTCAAACCCCAGCTGTGGGGAGCTGATTTTAGCTGGTGATGGCATCAAGAACTGCAGCTTCAACAGCAGCTTGGACACCAAGATTATAATCCATGGCTTCAGGTGAGAGAAAGAAGAGCACCCTGACTAAGCTTTCACTGCTAAAGTAGATGCTGCTGGGGCATTCCAAAGTGCTGGGTGCGGCCGGTAGGGAAACTTCCTGCTCCTGTGACTTTCTTAGTCTCTCAGCAGAGGGGCAGCAGGCAAAACACCTAAAGATAAGAGTCGGGAGTGCTCTGCCCAATACTGGACCTGGGGACTGTTGGTGGGCCAGGGCAGAGGCATGGAAATTGGTGCTGACAGCCTTCATTACAATGTAACTTGAAGTCCTTTAGTTTGTGGCCAGCTGCCTTTTTTGTATGTGTTTCACATTTTTTGGAGCCTAAAAAAAGTCAGGAAATTGAAATCTCTTTATTTCTGTATCTCGTTCCCGTAACTTTCCTGCATGTTCTCTCTTTCTCTCTCCTTATTTACCTCTTCCCTTTTCTGTCTTTCAACCTTTTTATTTAAGTCTTTTCTTCAAGATTGTTGCCCCTTAAAATTGTCTTCTTGGAGCTCATGTCCTTACTTATCAACAGCCTGGTTTAGGCAGCCATTTAGGAGCCCTGCCAGACACATTAACCATTCTTGAAAGGGCAGCGATTTGAGCTGGGTTCTTTTAAGCTGTCACCATTCTGCAAGCTTATTTTACTTTCCAATTTTCAGCCAGATGTGACCATATAACACTATTTTGATGTGCAAAAGCCTGAATAGAAAGTGCATAGAAGACCAGGATGAAAGCACAGATGATGTTGCAGGGTCTTTCCAGAAAACCGGCTTTTGCCCTCATGTGACATAGCATGCCTCTCACCAGGTGGTAACAAGGGAAGTGGGTAGAATATAGCCCCCTCTGTTTTCCTTGAATTCTTGTGCATAGATTTTATCGGGTTTGGGGTTTTTTAATTGCCTACAGGTGAGGAAATGTAGCAGTGAAAGACAAGGTGATTTGGCCAAGGACTTCCTGCCAGTTGGTAGCAGAGCAGGATCCAAATGTTCCTGGTCAGCTCATGTACTTGAGGTGGGCTCTGTGGTGGCACCACAAGAAGACTGAGATCTCGGTCTAAGCCCTGCAAATGTTACCTCATTCATTAAAGTATGTGGTGCCCTTCTGAATCAGTGTGCTCTGGAAGGTGTTACTACACCACTGCAGATGCCAGCTATTGGTGTCCGGACCCAGATGTTTCAACAACATCTGGCAGCCTCCTCC